AACCCAGGACAGCCCTTTCAGGGGCACTGGGGGGCTGCCCCATCCCACCACCCCTGCCCGGCACAGATCCTCATTCCAGGGGTATCAGCATTCCCAGCTGGGCACCAGGAGCTCTGCTGCACCCTTCCCTGGCTCTAGCCAGGAGCAAAGAGCCACGAGACTCCACAGCATCCATCCTGCAGTCCTGAACGCCGGGGAACTGCACACTGGGGAGTGATCGGGAGGGGGAGCCTGGACAGGGATGTTCCAGGTGTGCGGGGCCTGGTCAGGGATGATCCAGGCATGGGGAGCCCGGACAGACAGGGATGCTGCTCCAGGAGTGAGGAGCCCGGTCAGGGATGCTGCTCCAGCCAAGGGGAGCCCGGACAGGGTTGCTGCTCCAGGCATGCGGAGCACGGACAGACAGGGATGCTCCAGGCATGGGGAGCCCGGGCAGGGTTGCTGCTCCAGGCGTGGGGAGCACGAACAGACAGGGATGCTCCAAGTGTGCGGGGCCCGGGCAGGGATGCCGCTCCAGGCGATGCCGGCGGGGCCTCGCCCCCACCCCGCGGCACGGTTACACACGGGTACACACGGGTACACACGGGTACACACGGTTACACACGGGTACACACGGGTACACACGGGTACACACGGTTACACACGGTTACACAAGGCTCCGGCTCCCGGCGCTTGCATAAGCGGCAGCAGCGGGTGCAGCCTCAGGGGGAGAGGAGAGGCGAGCAGGAGCCACGCCCGGGATGGGATCTCTGGGCAGAACCCACAGGCGAGTCCCGCGGGTCTGGAGCAGGGCGTCCTGCAGCCACACAACCCCCTGCAGCAGGACTGGCCCCATCCCCTCACCATCCTTGTGGATAGGCTGAAAACAGCAGGAATTCAACCCTTAACAGCCATAAAAAGGCTGCCAGAACCCCCAAAGCCAGCGAGCAGCCTGCACACCAGCCCTGTGACATCCAGTACTCACCTGCTGCCCCTTCCAGGCCTGGAAATGGGGTTAGTCCCAGGGGAAAATCATTTTAAAAGCCTTTTAACCAAACAGGTGCTGGGGAAGCATCTTGTGGGTCTTGGGCTCCCAGGGAGCCTCTGTGGAGCAGGACACCCATGGGTCACCATCAGCCCTCAGCTCCCAGCCCTGCTTTGGGGGGAACGAGCACTGCCTCCAAACCAGCACCCATCAGCACCCAGGTGCCTTTGGCCAGCCCCTGGTGCTTTGGCACAGGGCAGCTCACCCTTAAACACATTGTTGATGCCCTAAAACACGTTGTTCTAGCCCTAACACGCGTTGTTCTAGCCCTAAAACACGTTGTTCTTGCCCTAAAACATGTTTTTCATGCCCCCAAACACGTTGTTCATGCCCTAAGGCACGTTGTTTCTGCCCACTGTGGTGCTTTGGATCTGGCCCAGCTCCATGGCTGTCAATGAGCTCATGGCCAGAGAGGGTTTTAAGAACCTGCAATGCCAACCCAGTCACCTTTCCCAAGGGATTTACACCCTTCACAGGATTCCTTTTCAGGATTCCTAGGTGCTGTGCCCACTGCACTGGAGCTGATGCTTTGACTCCAACTCCTTCCCACCCCACAACCCACATCCTTTTTTTTCCTGCCCAGTGCAAAGAAAGGATTAAAAACCACAACAAAAAGCAAAGAAATCCTCTAATTTAATGAGCACAGAAGCCCACAGACCTCTCGTTTGGCTTTTTAAGTATGAGCAATATCTTATCTGTGTCTTGAGGAGATTTAATTATTTTAACAATTAAATGGACCTCCCCAGGAGGCTGCACATGGAGGGCACAAGCACCTGCAGGACCCATGTGCATCGCAGCCCAAACTTCCCATGGCAAAGGTAACTTTACAGGTGGCACAGAAAGAGAAAACCAGGAAAGGTCATTGCACAAGAGGGGCTGTTTCTCCTGATTCAAATGCAGCCCCACAAACCCACACTGCAAAGCCACAGGCACACCCAGAGCTGCAGCAAACACTCACCAGTGACCCTTGGGCAGTGATGCTGCTTCCTTGCAGGCAAGGGGAAAAATTTCCATCCTCCTTCTTTGTGTAGGGAATGACTCTATGGGGACAGCAGCCACCCCAAAGGCACAACACTGGGACAACCAGCTCACTGGCAGGGTCAGCTACCCCAGCTCTGCACCCATCCCTCCCCTGAGACACCCCCAAACCTCAGCCTCGGCCTTTTACTGCCTTCAGGATAACAAATCCCAAAATCCCAGCGCAGCTGCCCTGGGAGGGGAAACAACACAAAAGGACACAAGCCCCAGGTGCTTAGAGAGCTCCAAGCCCCAAGGTGAGCATCCAACCACCTGATTGCCTCTGGAAAGCATTGTTGAGGTGATTCTCAGCAGAGGACACGTGTGGCAGCCCCGGAGTCTGTGCTGTGCTGGGGTGAGGCAGAGCTGCGGGAGGAGCGAGGGCGATGTGTGAAATCGAGGGGCGGCCACAGCTATTTCTGCTCCGTGTCAGCACCCACTGACAGCAGCACCCTGCGAACACACAGAAGCTCCAGGCAGCTTTTTCTGAGTGAAATTCACCTGTACATGACTGCACTTCCCCGTGAACCCCCAGCACTGTGAGGTGTGGAGCTCGCTGGTTCTGGGGGCAAAGCTGGGGGGTTTGGGGTCGCTGCTGGCACCATCTCCATTTAGACTCCTGAGATTCCCCCTTATCTGATGGGCAGAAGCTTCTACAAATCCCTTCTCCCTCCTCCTGCTCAGGGTCACTCTTTTTTTCCCCGTAATTTCTTGGGACTTGGAGCGAGACCCAGGCAAATGCGACTGATTGTGTAACGTTTTGCTCAGAAAGCTTCTTAAACAGTCACATATTTCTATTGGATTTCCCTTGCCCTTCACTGCTGATTACTGGAGTATTTATATATAAATAGAAGCTGTCTTCCCCATAATCTGCTTGTTTTTCCTAATTAACTCAGGGCTGCTCTCCTTGGGTTGCTCAGCCCTTGGGTTTTGGGGGTGCCAGCACCCAGCGGCACTCAGGGAACCCAAATGCACCAAATTTCTGCTGAAATTGCTTTTTTAGCTGGTTTTAAAGATGCAAAACCCTCCCTTCCAAACTTTATGTGCTCAGTATCTGCCCCATCCTCCCAACTCCCAGCTCAGGGAAATGCTCAAATGTGATTTCTTCATCTTCCTCCCTCCTCACAAAACTTTCCCTTATTCAAGGAACGTCTCGATTTGATAATTATTTTAATCATTATTACTCATCTTTCCCCTTTCTTCCCCCCCTCAAAACTTCGTCCTGGGCCTGTCAATCACTTTAATAGCTGTTTACAACCTATCATCAAGTCTTGCATAACATCCACATGACTTCACTCAGATGCCTCCGACACCCAAAAGCTGCCCCTGGGCTCTATTTCAGGAGTGATGGAGCCCACGGCACCAACTGGCTGCTTCCCCCGCCGGCATGCCCGGGGTCCTGGGATGGGGAAAACCAAAGCCAAAGACATGCCCGAAGCAAAACTATTTTGTAGTTGACACAAGACAGCCCCACGCTGCTCCCCGGCTCGGGTTTTGGGGGTGAGGGTTGGTTCGGGTTTTGGGGGTGAGGGTTGCTCCCCAGCACCGCAGGTGGATGTTGCGCCAATTTGGAGAGCTCGGGAGCTGAAGGCGCTGGAGCAGCCCCTGGATGGCAGCGTGGCCTCTGCCCCCTCACCCCCCTCTCAGCACTGGGACACAGGCACACCAGACATGGCAAATTCTGATTAAAATGTCATTTTCTAGCCGAGTTCTGCACCCCGCGGCATCGCCCGTCGGCGGGGGACGGGGCAGAGGCGCAATCTGTGCCGGAGCGGCTGCCAGCCCTTTTCCTTCGGCAGGCGGCGGCTGGCTCGTGGGGCGGGGGGGGACACCACGGCTCTTTTTTAAGCTCTCCCTCTGTCCTCCCCCTCTCCCTGAGATTTCATAACCCTTCAAAGCACGAAAAGGCTCCTCCGGTTCCCGGCTAATGAGCCCTGCGGAGGAGGACGCGGCCGCGGCAGGAGCGGAGCGCGGCAGCCAAACCTCCCCAGCGCGGTGGGACGGGCAGGGGGACACGGAGGGGTCTCTGCGGGGTCTCACCGTAACCCCAACTTGGCCAATTCTCTCCCCAAAACCGCCCTTGGCACGAGGCTGCCCGGGATGGGACGTCTCTCCCTCCCCGTGCAGGCGCTGCACGCGAATGTTTATTTACACAGCATTAGGGGGTTATTTATTAAGCTACGGCTGACAACTGTATTCAAATTAATTTCTGTTAATAAGGCGCTTGCGGTCACCCCGGCAACAGCACCGGAGTGCCCTTCCTTAAGGAAAATACTTATTGGGGTGAGATCCCCTCGGATGCCAAGAGGGTGCTGGGGCTGGAGACACCAAATCCCTTCTTGAGATCTGCTCCGTGACCGGAGGTGGAGTCCAGAGGGAGGAAATTGGGCTAGAAGTGTCTGTTTTATGTGATGCATGTATAGATAGAGAGGTCACCAAAAGCAGGAGGCATCTGAAGGGGTCCTTGCTTGCCAAGGGGAAAATAAAGGATGGTAGAGCTCCCATGTCCTGCTTTGGATTGGAAAACACAATGGCTGCTTTACCAATTCCTGTGATTACAACACTAATTAAGAATGGTGTGGGATGAAGGCAGGATTCCTGTTTCCTTGCACTGACCAAGGTGAGAGGTTAAACTATGCAGAGAAAGACAGCAGATTTCTCAGCTCCATCTCTGCCTCAGAGAATTGTCAAACCAAATTTCCCCTGGGTTTTAAAATCCTGGATGCATCAGTTTACCAAATGCTGTGCAATCCAGGGTTTGCAAAACACAACTCCCCAAAAGTGGAAGGAAGCTCCTCATCTCCTCTAAAACTTAGCCCTAAACTCACACATTAAAATCATCACGGGTTTTTTTGGGGGATATTTTACTCAACAGTCACACAGTGCTCCAAGCAGCTGGGGTAGCCCCAGGGAAACCCACCAAGAACCCACCCCAAAACAAAGGATTCACACTGGCAAGTAGAGCAGGCTGTGATTTACTGGGACAACAACATTTCTGCAACAACAGAGAACACGACTGTGCCGAGGCACCCGGCTGGCAAACCCACAGCAACACTGAGCACTGCCACACTGGGGACCTCAGAGAGGGACATCAAAGAGACACTGGAGGGGGGCTCGAGTTCTGGGGAACCCAGAGAGCTGACACGGAGAGCAGAGACCAGAGGGAAGCTCCTGGAAACCCGAGAGAGGTGAAACCAGAGCAGGGAGCAAAAAGATAATCCTGGAGACCCTGGAGAGGCCACACTGAGAGCAGACACCAGAGGGATGCTCACAGTCCTGGGGACCTTGGGGAGGTGACACCAGAGCAGACACCAGAGGGATGCTCACAGTCCTGGGGACCTTGGGGAGGTGACACCAGAGCAGAGGCCACAGGGGTGCTCATGGTCCCCAGCACAGGTTTCCCTCCTGTGTCACCCCCAGACACACAGACACGAGACAGAAGCCTGCTGGGACAGGCAAGGCTGCTACATGCCAGGGGGGGGAGCAGAAGGCAGTGGGTTCCAGGTGGGCTCCACAGGAGACAGTGGCACACAACTCCCTCTGGAGGCACTTGATCCTTCAATCCCGGGCACCCTGGCTCTGCCTGTGAAGCTCCAAAGGCACACGTTGGCTGCAAGGGACCTCACAAACTCCTGCTGGGATTGCAGAGAGCCTGAAGGAGCCCAGCACTGTGTGGATGGGATGGGGTTTGGTCCCAGCCTCCAACTGGCCTGGCTGGGCTCGATCCTCCTGGCTGTGACAGCGGGGCTGCTCTTCACATGCTCATCCCCAGCCCAGATTCCCTTTTACCCATGAGATGAGCATGTTGTCTTCTCTGAAAGCCATCTGAGATGGCAGGAGCCTCAGGAAAGCAGGGATTTGGGGCTGAGGGGCTGCAGTGGGGGCTTGGCAGTGATTCAGAGCTGGGAAGAGGCATCTAAGCAAGGACAGGGAAAGTGGAGCAGGCCACAAGATCTGCCCTGGAAACTGGGCTTGGACCAGAAGAAACCAGAATCAGAGGGAACTGCTGTAGCTGGAAGTGCTGATCTAGTTGAAAATAAAAGGCATCTACTGCAGGCAGTGGTGGGTTCCCTTCCAGGGCAAAATCCTGACTGCTGAGTGCAGGGTTTAGCCCAGGCTGCTGTGTGTGCAGGGTTTGCTCTAATAAACACACACATTCCTGCAGCAGAGGAGCTGAGCTCCTTGGAGGCATTTCCTTAAGGATACATCCCTGCTCCTGTGCCCTCAGCAATCTGCCCAAGCCTCCCTCCTCCTCCTCTTACACACTGCCTGGGTTGTAGCACAGCAGGTTGAACTCCAAGTTCTCATCCCAGTGCCGGAGCAGCACAAAGAGCTGCTGGGCTGCAGCTTTCACCGTGGCCAGGCTGGATCCCTGGGGGAAGTCCTGCTCGCTCAGCCACAGGCTGGCTTTGGCAGCCACCAGCTCCCACTCGATGAAGTAGGAGGCTGAGCTGTGCTCCAGCCAGGCCAGGGCCACCGCCGTGGCCCAGAGCATCCCCTCGGGCTCCGTCTGCTGCTGCAGCTCCACGTCTGAGAGCACAGCCTGGAGCTCGGGGCCGCCCTCGGCGTCCCAGGCGCGGCTGTCGGCGGGGGAGGAGAAGCTGCGGATGGTGATGGCCGGGGGGCGCAGCTCCTGCTCCTGCTCGGCTCTCAGCGCCCTGGAGATGCTCTCGGCAGCGCTGCCCGACAGGTGCCGAGGGTGGCCCGTGCTCAGCACTGCTCCCCCAGCCGGGTCTGCAGCGATGGGGCCCTTCCCCTGCCCGCTGGGGACCAGCAGCTGCCGGGGGCAGCTCAGGGCTTTGGGCTCCGAGGAGGAGGAGCTGCTCTTCTTGCTGCTGTAGGAGCCGGAGGGGCTGAGGGACAGGCGGTGGCAGGTGAAGGGTGATGTCCACTTCAGCTTCTCCATGGGGATGTTGACGGCGTCACAGAAGGCTGAATTCAGAAGGAAGGCACCACAGGCCAGCTGCAGGGACACCTGTAAGGGATGGTGGGCACAAAGGGAAGCTCTGGCACCAAACACTTGTGGGTAGCTCAGGAAAAAGGCATGTATGGGTGAAACAGCTCTCTATCTCTGAGCAGGTCACTGGACGTGGTTTACAGAAGCAGCAGGAGGAAACTTTGGGAGGGATCCTCCTCTGCTCCCCTGCAGTGACCACAGAACCCCAACAAGACCCAGGGAGGAGCTGCTCACCAGGGGAAGGTAGTCCATGCTCTCACTGTCACCCTCAGAGCTGGCTTTGCTCCCTCTGCTAGGAGATTTACCCATGAAGCCCTTGGCAGCTCGAACCAGCAGCATGGTTTTATTGAGGGTCAGCCTGTGAAAGGATGAAAAGGTGTCTGTGACCTCTGTGCTCACCCTGACACCCACCCCCCCTCCAAACCATCCCTGCTCCCCAGACACCGGCACCATGCTTAGCCCCAGCTCCAGCTGCTGTCCTTGGGTCCCTCCTCTCCCCCTGGCCTGTGTTCACATCACACCCACACAGGTGAAAGGCACCTGCTGGGGTCAGAGGAAGGTCGAGCTGGCTCATACCTGGCAGCAAAGAGCCTCTCAATGGATTTTTGGGCTTGTGCAGAGGAAGCAGACAGGCCGTGGAGAGGCCCTGGGGAGAAACACAGTGCTGGGGTTACAAGGTGCTACAGGGGAGCAAAAGGGAGCAGAATCAACGTTCTGGCTTGTTTGGCTGCTGAATCTTTGGCAAAACTCTTCCTCTTCCCTTGCCTCATTTTTCCTATAGGAATAATAAAAATTCCTATACCTTTTAAAAATGTACCTGGGGGAGATTTATACCAAAACCCACATCAAGTTCCATCCTTTTCACCTCAGAATGAGCCCGGCCCAGAGACCAACTCCTCTGCTGCAGGGATGCATGTGTTTATTAGAGCAAGCCTAGTTTTAGGTCATAAATTTGTATAAAATTCCCCAAAACTCAGCAGAAGCCCAAACCATGGATTTGATGGAGCTGCACAAAGTGCCAGCAGCTCTTTCCCTACCTTCAGGGCCACGGCAGCGCTCCCAGGCAGACAAAGATGGGGTGCTGGAGGGTGAGGGGCTCCTCTCCTCAGCATCTGCAATCAAGGAAACACATCAGCAACAGCACCCAGCCAAAGCCAGCACCTTCCCTCCCACGGCACGATGGGGTTAATGAGCCTCTCCGGGGCTCTGTAATTCAGCTCCAGCTCTGACAGTGCCAGACAAGGTCCGATCCAACTCGTCTTCATTAGTGGAGGATTTGGTGACAAGCGAGTGTCTCACATCCCCCCTGCCTCTAATTACACTCGTTTCATCCTGCGTGTTGCCCACGCTACGGCTGCCAATTAACTCCTGAGCGCTGCCAGCAGCACCCCTGCCCTGTCAGGGCTCTGGGGAAATCGAAGCTTCCTCGCCCTTCAAGGAGATGAGCCCCAGCCTGACACGAGTCTGGTGAGCACCGTATGCAAAGGGGAAGGCAGGATTTAAAAAGACCAGAGAAGGTGTCCCCAAACCACTGAGTGTCCCAAGCTCCTGCTGAGAGCAGCTTTGCCCCCGAGCAGGCTGCACGGGCTGGATGGCTCAGTCCTTTATGGGGACACAGTGCCTGAAACCCGAGCAGCTCTCAGCCCCTGGCTACCTCTAGCAAGCATAAGGGATATCAGCTCTTTAGTGATTGTCAGCTCTCTTGAGTTCAGCTCTTTTGCTTGCTAAGGCATTGCTGGCTGGCTGGCAGACACAGAGAGAGAGAAGGCAGCTCTGGAGTTCCACAGTGGTGTCTGTACTGGGGATCTGTGAAGGGTTCCAGCAATGGCTCCTCAAATCAGAATGGGCTAAAACAACCCATTATATAGGGTACAGGGGTATCCAGAATTGTCCAATAGCAGGGGTTAAGGGAAAGTGACCTATGGGGTTACAGAGAGATAAGCTGGGGTCTGAAAGGCAGAAGAGAGGGGCTTGCCGTGACTTGGCATTTCCTATCTTTAGGCCTCTGCTCTCCACGGGGCCCTAGCAAGCCCATGGCCTGCCACAGCTGAGATCTCTAACAGCAGGAAGGAGATAAAACCCCAGGCAATCTTACTCATGCTGTTCAATCCGAGGTCTCCATTCTGGCCACATGCTGACTGAGGATGTCCATGGGAACAGCCACGATACTTTCTGTTTCCTGAACTCTTCTGTTTCCTCTGGTTGCTTTGCTTGGATGCTGCCCCTTGGCATGAGAGAAGAGAATGACCAGTTTTAGAGAGAGACTGGCACTGCATGATGGCAATGAAACCACAGAATGAGCTCGGTCAGGAACTGGAGTGACAGGACAAGGAGGAATGGTTTCAAACTGGAAGAGAGTAGGCTTAGATAGGCTATTGGAAACAAATTCTTTGATATGAGGGTGGTGAGGCCCTGGCACAGGTTGTCCAGAGAAGCTGTGGCTGCTCCCTCCATGGAAATGTCCAAGGCCAGGATGGACAGAGCTTGGAGCAGCCTGGGCTAGTGGAGATGGTGGCAGGGGGTGGAATAGGATGAGCTGTAAGGTCTCCTCCAACCCAAAACATTATGTGATTCTCTGATCATCCCTGGGTATCCAGCCTCAGAGGAGACCTTTTCTCTGGCCACAGGAAGAGGTTTGTGCCACCAAGAGCTTGACCACGGCCTTGGGTATGGGTCTGGTGCCAAATTGTGCTGCGGCTTCACAGTGTTTGCCCTGAGAGAAGTTCCCCAGTGACACCTCCCCTGTCAGGACAAGGTCCCACCCCTGTACCAGCCCCACATTACCTGTGTGGGTGTACTGGACCAGGGTGGGCAGGTAGGAGCTGGTGCTCAGGTCCACAGGCACGAAGGCTGTGTACTTGCTGATGATGTTACAGGCCTTGCTGGTGTGGACAGCGCTGAGCTGGAACCGGCGCCCAGACCCTGCCATGGGAGGGACAGCAGGGTCAGAGTCCATGGGCCCCAAGGGTCCCCACCCCTCACACCCAGCTCCCAGACCCTGCCAGAGGAGGGACAGCAGGGTCAG